GCTGGGAGGGGGTGGGCGGCAGTGCACAGCCTAGGACCTCTGCTGGGGGGGAGGGGGTTTGGTGGGGACGGCAGGCTCCCTACCTGGCTCTGTGCCTCCCACCCCGTCCAAGGCTGGCTCTGGGCTGCTCTTACCTGCGGGGCTCCCCGGAAGCAGCAACATCCCCCTTGCTCAGCTGCTAGGCGGAGGTGTGGCCAGGCAGCTCTGCATGCTGCCTCCACCCAGAGTGCTGGCTTTGCAGCTCCCATTGGCCAGGAATCATGGCCAATGGGAGCTGCGGGGGCGGTGCCTGCAGGTGAAAGCAGCGCGCAGAGCTGCCTGGCCACACTTCCGCCTAGCAGCTGAGCGAGGGGGATGTCGCCACTTCCGGGGAGCCCCCCAGGTAAGTACCCCATCCCATGCCCCAACCCCTTGCCCCTTCCCAGATCCAAACTCTGCTGGGTGGAGGTGGGGAGGCACGATGGCCCAAGACTGCCCAGCAGCAGCCGGTATGACTGGTGCAGGGGCTGCCTGAGCCATCCCTGAGCCAGGCACACCGGCCGCTGCAGAAGTCATGGAGGTCACAGAAAGTCAAGGAATCCATGACAAACTTGTAGCCTTCCTTATCGGTTAACCATTTAATGTTTTACATCCCTACCAGCAATGTGGTTCTTATGTTCTCCAGCGGCTTATATATGCCATTCTTGTAAATACACCCCCAAAAATATTAGTTTTTTTTTTGCAACTGCATCACATTGTTGACATATTCAATTTGTGATCCACTAAAAACCGCAGATCCCTTTCAGCAGTACTACCACCTTGCCAGTTATTCTCCATTCTGTAGTTGTGCATTTGAAGTGTGGGGGCACATCATGCTCCACAGATGTCACTGAGGTGTGCCATGAATGTAATCGTACTGCCCTGGGCCACCCACGGTGTGCTTGATGTGACATGAGCATACCAAGAGGGCATCACACATGACATATGATAGGAGACCATGCCACACCAAAACCTCATCACATGTTGCTATGACATTATAGGATGCAATGTGATGTCATCCCACAAAACAAGTGATGTGTCACGTCATAACATGGTGACATCACTGCTTAGAGCCACAGGTGGGCTGGTGTCCATGGGCTACGGAGGAGCAGTGTTCCCTACTCTGCAGGATGGAGGCCGGATCCCAACACCTGTCCCCCACCCCCACTGGCCACTTCCGCCTTCACAACCTCCTGCTCCTAGTAACCAGACTCAGAGCAGCACGGGCTGGCTCGCTGCCTGACGTAAGGACCCCACACCAGCCCGGGGCTGCCCCCCGCGCTGCCTGATACGTACCTGTCTGCAGCCGCCACTCGCCAACGAAGCTGTTGGGGGCGCGACGGAGCGGCGAGACCGGAGCTCTACTCGCTTCCTCCCCCTGCAGCCAGGAGAGGGCTGAGCCGCCCCGCCTCGGCGGAGTGTTTCCAGGCAGGCGGCGCGACGGGCAGCCCGGGGTCCTCTGCGGGCAAGGGGAGGGGGCAGAAGCTGGTGGTGGAGTAGGGGCTAGAGGAGTCCGAGCCGATGTTTACACCGGGCAGAGGTAACCGCCCCCGCCGGCCTGAGGGCGGGGGAGAGGGGCCGCGGCGGGATGGAGGGGCGGAGCAGGCTTTTGGGGGTGGGGGGCTCCTAGGAGTGGGGCCGGGGCAGAGAGAGGGCGGCCTGCAGGGACATCCGGGACGGGGCAGGGCTGGAGGGGAGCGGGGCTACCTGGAGTAGAGCGGCTAGGGGGGTCGGGTGGGACCTGGGGAGGGGGCTGGGGGTGGGGAGAGGCCTGGGGGCGGGGCGGGGAGAGGAGAGGAGGTCGGGCTTCAGCGTGGGGAGAGTTGAGTGCGGGGAAGGGCCTGGTGGGCGTGGAGAGGTCACAGGGCAGAGAGGGGCCGTGAGCGGGAGGGAGCTCGCTGGGGGCGAGGGGAAGTTGTCTTCCGGGGTTTCCCTGAGGGAGGGGAGGGGGGAAATGTTGGGGAAGGGCTGGGTGGGGGGAGTGTGGGGCCGAGGAGAGTAAGATGAGGGCTTGGCGTGCTAAGGGGGTGAGGAGGTGGAGGGAGAGAAGTGGTGAGGTGCCAGGCGGGCAAGTAGAAGGGGGGGGGCGGCTTCGTATTTGAAGGGGTAGACAAAGGAGGGGGCGCTCAGTTGAACAATGATGTTCGGTGGGGATTGGTTTGTGTGTGACATTTAGAGCAGGTGAGAGGGTTGGTTGTTTACTTTTGTGTGAAAAGATGTTTTATTTCCACCTAGTGACTGTTTTTTAGGCCTTTTCTTTTTCGTTCACCCTAGCAAAGGAGGCCCATCGGTAGAGTTAGGACAGCAAAAACTTTTTTTTAATAAGGTAGGCAGAATAGAAAGTAAAACTCAGTCACGAACGTTAGATCAAACCCACCTCTTTCGTGCTTGTGTTTAATTATGAATTTTTCCCTCCCTCCATCTCTTTTGGTTTGTTTTGTGGGTTTGAGTTTAGGTTTGACTGGGTGATTGTGGCGTTTCACTGATGCAGATCATTTGGATTGTTCTTGAAACTTGTTTAATTCTGACGATTTGTACAGCTGTTATGGAATATTTGTCATATTTGTCAGAGTTTGCAGTTTGCATTTTTAAGTATCTTATCAAAATGGGACTAATTTATATAAATAATTCCTCAATTTGCTTAGCCAGCATTTTATAGAATACCTGGACAAGAACTTGCAATGGGAACCTTCATATGACTAATATGTAACTTCCCATACCAGCACAGAGAGATTTGGGAAGAAACTTTTTTTTCTAATCAAACACCAAATCTAGTCTTTAGTATTTTACATTTATATATTGACTTTCATCCCTGGATTTCATAGTGCTTACAAACATAAGTTAATGAAGCATCAAAACACCACTATTATTGTATACCCATTTTGCAGATGGAGAAAAACTAAATACAGAAGGGTGGGTGCTGAGCTTTCTCCTTTCAACTTTTAAGGTGGCTGCATTAATTATGCTATATGTATATATTTTGTATAACTCTTTGGGATCCTTCAAGATTATATTGCTTTTTATAAGTATTTTCTGCTAAGCATTGTCTGTGTACTATTTTAAAAAAAGCTGGGGCTGGACTCCTGTGTATCTTATAAGTTCCCCAGATGTCCTAGAACTGACAGTCTTTGTACTCTGAACTATTGTGAGTACAACTATATCAAGTTTTCACATATCAGGCTTGTTATAAAGAAATAAAAATTCAGAAACAAATCAAGAAAATTCCCAAACAAAACTTAAGATTGTGTTAAGGGAGGAAACAAATTAATTAAAAACATTAGAAAGTTGAACAATATTTAACAAAACTGAACATTTGGAAGTGATCACAGTACAAGGCTATAAGTTCAAAACCCCTATATGTCACTACAGAGCACCCCAGTAAAGTTTTCAACACCTTCCTTAACTCTGACCTTTCTCTTTACCCGCATCTTTTTGTATCCAACTTTTAGTTATGAGCCACAGGTTTCTACTATATACTGGGTTATAAACTGTTAATGCTTGTTTCCCCAGTACACACTCAAATGAGTGGTTGGATATCAGTTTCTTTATCATTTACATAGTATGGTCAAAACCTCACATTTTTCATATAGCCCTCGTGATCCATACTAGACCTTCATCGGCATGCATCCGACGAATTGGGCATTCACCCACGAAAGCTTATGCTCCAATACATCTGTTAGTCTTAAAGGTGCCACAGGACTCTCTGTTGCTTCATACTAGACCTTGTCTGTGTTCACCACATTATGAATTGTATACCTTTCCTTATCCTGTTCATTTATTCAGTGTTGGCCAGCTATAGATTAGAGATCAAAATTCTCAGTATGAGCCTTAATATACAGGCCGCATACCTGCAAAGATGAGACATTCCTTTGCAAAAGACAGTCCTGAATTTCTCCCTGATCTTGATGTAAGCTAGCAGGGTGGGTGCAAATTATGACTGTTCCGCAAATGACCATGCTACTGTAATTTATATGTGCAACAGGGGATGCTTAAATTTTTTTCAAGCAGCAGCTAGTGGGCGAGCAAAGGTAATGGTCACAGTGTTAGAGTATTAACAAATATCTAGGGTCTTTCCAGCATTTATTTTTTTGACCTAACAGACTTTTAATTTCTTGTCTTTCAGATGTTTGTTTTTAACTTTAACTCCAGGTTTACTAACTTTCAGTAATCTTTTTTGTGCTAAAATTACAACATAAATTGCCTAGGGAGGTTGTGGAATCTCCATCATTGGAGATTTTTAAGAACAGATTAGACAAATACCTGTCAGGGGTGGTGTAGATAATACTTAGTCCTGCCATGAATGCAGGGGACTGGACTAGATGACCTCTCAAAGTCTCTTCCAGTCCTATGATTCTATGATTTTAATAAAGATCATTTTAAATTTATAGATGTTTCCTTTAACTTTTTTCCAACAAAGCTTTTTATTTAGTGGTGTCATCAGGAAGAACACAACTTTATAAAGTACAATTGTTAGAGAATCCAGTGGAATATTAAAATGGACTGAATCTCATTGGTGGGGACATTAAGCTGACTTTAATATGGAAGAGCATTCAATTTTAAACCCCTTCTCTCCCCCCCCCCAAAAAAAACTTGAGAAGCTTTCTTGGATTAATATGGCCTCCATTATATGCCATTTGTAAGCTTGGTCCGCTAAATGTTACTTTTGAACTTGGGGCAAAATGTTTAGAGGAGCTGATCTTGCAACTGGATGCATCTAGACCTCAAATACCTACATATATCCTATCTCCATGGATCCAGTTGCAGAATCTGGCCTTTAGTATGTTGCTTTTTAAATGTACTGACTTAACAAAAAATCTATTTTAAGTCAATTCTAATTAAACCAAAAAGTCAAAATACAGTGGGGATTGGATGGCTGAAGGGATCAGTGATGGGCTCTGGTCCTATGGAGTCTTTCAGCAGTAGCTAGCCAATATTTTCAATACTTATCAGGTCATTAGGGAGTCAAAGTTGTTACTGTCTGCCAGCAGCTATGTAGCTTGTGTGAAATTAATTGTCCTCTGTCCTGTTCCCAATGAAAACAAATCAATACCCTCTCCCTCCCAACCTTCGCAGTTGGCACTCATTGGAACTTCTGTCAGCAGAGAGGCCAAGTATTGAATGGGCCATCCATGGTAACTGACCTCTCTCACCATTATTGGTATGTCTTCACTGGAAAAAAATAAAAAGAGAAAAAAAAATGTGGTTTTTATCTCAGGTTGGCTAAGTTAGGTTAAATTAGCAGTGAGGACATAGCAACTTGACTTTTGCCTCAAGTTAGCGCCACAAGTGGGAGCGGGGAATGAACTCAAGCTGCTAACCCGAGTTAAAAGTAAGTTGGTATTCACTGCTATTTTAAATCATATTACCGTAGTTAACTTGAGTTAAGAAAGCACTTTTTCTTGCAGTGAAGACATACACTGCATGTAAGGAGCACAACGTGGAAAACCTTAAACTGTTGCTATACTTGGTGAATTTTCTGTTGCTATCCTTGGTGAATTTTTTTGTTCTGTAGATAGATTGGTTTAAAACAATTATTTATAAGAATCGGACCAACATTTTAGGAAATTTTTAATGGAAAACTCCCTATGTTCAATACAGTATTAAGACTAACTATAATTGGGGAAAAATATTGAAGAATTTTTCCATATAATTAGGAGAAAATGGGAAAAGTACTTAATTAGAAATAGGGATTTTCTTCAATGTGGTGTTTTATTTTTAAATGTATACCTTTCAAATATGTATCACTGAGAACAGGTAAAACCCATGGATTAAAGGGCACTGTTAGATAGCGAAGGCCCACAATGTGGGTGTTGGATGTGTAAAATAAAGTTTTTCAATATTGGAAAACATTTTTCTTACATTTTTATTTCTGTTGACATGCAAATATCCCATTGTTCTGTTTTTTACCCAAACATTTTAAGAAAATGAGAAACAAATTAATCTGACTAGTCGGTTTTCGTTGTCCAGCATGACTGAAATGTAGAAAATACATGAAAAGAAATAACAAAAAGAAATTTCTTTTCAATACTTTTCATTCTAACAATTTAAGTAGATATTAGTAACATAGCAAAAGATGTCTCTCCTCCCTTCCCCTAGAAGATTTCAAATTCAGCAATGTCACTTCAAAAGTTTTTAAAATTTGCTCTGGAGGAAAATGCATTTTAAAAGCATAACTTACTAGAAATGAGGGTATTAAAAAACCCTTTCCCTTCAGCCCTGATTCTGCAAATGTTTATGTATGTGCTTAACTTTAAGCACATGAATAATCACAATGGGACTAAGGCTCAGACTTTTTAAGGCTCTCATTTTCAAAAGGCTTTTAGGGACTTAGGAGCCTAAATCCCATTGACTGTCAATAGGTTTTAGGCTCCTAAATGCCTTTTGAAAATGAGATTTAGGTTCCCGAATCGGTTAGGTATTGCAACACTAAGCACAACAATTCCTGAATACCTGTAAAAATCTGGATCTAAAGCTAAGCATGTACATAAATATTTGCTGAATTGGGGCTGTAGTTTTTGTCAGTCTATAAACATCCCACTATAGCCGTTTCGATACTTCAGGATCCAAAAGTGCATAACAGCATTGAGCATAACAACAGCCTCAAGCTGAACTGCATGAACAGTAAAAAAAAATTTTGCAGCTCATGTGGAGGGAAAAAAGATTTCTGGGAAAGCCTTTCTTTGAGTTTTTTTTTTTTTTTTTAATTAAAGCTTGTAGGTAGTTGGCTCTGGTCAGGAAACTTTTTTTAAATTGGAGTGTTAGCTTTGCTGCAAAGATTAGGTTTTCTCCAGGCTGTGGTAGTTTTGAACAGTCATCTGACTGCACAGCTCAGGTTGAAGAGAATGCCATAATATATGCTGAAAGCAATTACAGGCATTTGGGTTTTGTGCAGTCCTCACATTTTCTCCTTAATCATGATCTTAGTACCATGGGAACAGTGTGGAAGTGTAGTACTTTTGAATATCATCCTCCAAGTTGCTTGCTTAGCTTCACGCAGTTTTCTAATTGAATTTCATCCTCATGCAGATTTACCTCAACTATTCTAAGTGAATGTCAGGATACAGTGAAAACTAGTTTGTTCATATATTGAGAATACAGTAATAATGGTGATATTCCTGTACTTCTGCAGATTTGCCTGGGTAACATAATGCCAGCTGAGCGCAAAAAGTCAGCCAGTATGGAAGAAAAAGAATCTTCATTAAATAACAAAGAAAAAGACTTCAGTGAAAGGCGATCAGTGAGCAGTAGAGAGAAACCAAAGGAGGATGTGAAGGTTGGCCTGAAGAGAGAGACTCTCAAGACACCTGAAGATAAAAAGAAAAAACTGGAGGAGGATAAACGGAAAAAAGAAGACAAGGAGCGAAAGAAAAAAGAAGAGGACAAGATAAAAGCTGAAGAAGAGCAGAAGAGGAAAGAGGATGAAGACAAAAAGAAATTTGAAGAGGAAGAGAAAAAGAAACAAGAAGAGGAAGTAAAACGTCAGCAAGAGGAGGCAGCTGCACAATTGAAGTAAGATTTATGTTTTAAGTTTTAACTGTGCCTAACAGTATAGTCCTTACTCAGGCAAAATTCCCATTGAAGTCAGTGGGAGTTTTGCCAAAGTGAGGACTGCAGTATTGGGTCACTCTTTTTTAATTTTATGAATAAGAAGGTAAAAATTTATATAATTGTTTAGTAAATATAGATCAGGGGTTCTCAAACTGGGGGTTGGGACCCCTCAGGGGATCGTGAGGTTATTACATGGGGGGTTGTGAGCTGTCAATCTCCACCCCAAATCCCGCTTTGCCTCCAGCATTTTTAATGGTGTTAAATTAACACTTTTTTATATATTTATAAGGGAGGTCGCACTCAGAGGCTTGCTATGTGAAAGGGGTCACCAGTAAAAAAGTTTGAGAGCCACTGATATAGTGTCAAGTGATATGCTCAGTGCTATTTGTGAGAAGCTAAAAGTATGCAGTAGTTGTATGTATATACTAACCACTATCACTTTGGCTTATACATTGGATTTCGGTAATGTCATCTGTCTGGAGATCTCATGAGATGTATAAATGTGCCTGAATTAAGCATCACAAAGTCTCATTGAGGTTAAGAAGTGTTATCCCCATTTTACAGATGGGAAAACAGAGGCACAAAGAAGCCAAGTGACTTGCCCGTGATCACAATGAAATCCATCCAGGAATAGGTGCTGGGCAGCTTGACTCTCAGTCCGGTACTTCAGTCACAAGACCAACCTTACTATAAACTGTTGCTGTAAACTTTTAAGCACTGGAAATGGGCTGTGATCTCTAAAGCTGTCCAATAGTCAGCAGTCATGAATAATTGGTAGGATACAGCAGGAAGTGGTGTTAATTTAGTTTTCTCTCCAAGTCAGTATCCATAGCATGGTATTAAGAGACACTATGGGGTTGGAGGTAAACAAAACCAAGATTCTGACCATTTGTATTAATTAAAGATACCATGACTCTTTTTTAAAGAGTAAGGGTTTCAATGTGTCTGTCTTGGTCAGACTCCAGGCTGGGCGAATACATTTTATCTACTTAAATTGCCCTTGCAATTTCAGTTGGATTTGGAATTCTTCTTATCTAGAACACGTGTGTAGTGTTACTGTGTTCTGTTAACAGCTGCTGTGTTCTGTCCCAAAGTTGATTGTATTTCTTTCTTGAGTAAAAGGATTGTAGTATTTATGCTTTGTTAATGCTTTGTGATAAAAAAAATCTGTATAGAGCCTTGCTAACATGTTTATTTTAATAAACACATAAATGGCACTTTCTTAGAAAAGGTTTAATAGAAGAGTGCTATTTAGTGAAGCTTTGGAGTTACTAGGACTTCCTTATTATCAGTAAAATATATTACAGAACATTCATTAGTACATATAAAGTATCAGGAAAAATTTAAACTGCACTACAATTGAGATCAATTAGCTTGTGGTGCATTATCCTTGTTTTGAAATGGTTCATTTACCTGTCAGTTTACAAAATTCAGTAATCTATAATAGAAATTAGTGAGGTCTTACCAGGTTATAACTATCAGTTTTTTTTTCTTTAGAGAGAAAGAGGAAGCACATCAACTCCATCAGGAAGCTTGGGAGCGCCATCAAGCAAGAAAGGAACTCCGCAGCAAAAACCAGAATGCACCAGATAACCGCCCTGAGGAGAATTTCTTTAGCAGGCTAGACTCGAGTCTGAAGAAGAACACTGCTTTTGTTAAGAAGCTAAAAACTATCACAGAACAACAGAGGGACTCCTTGTCTCATGATTTTAATAGCCTCAATTTAAGCAAGTACATTGCAGAAGCTGTAGCTTCTATTGTTGAAGCAAAGCTGAAAATATCAGATGTGAACTGTGCCGTGCACTTGTGTTCTCTGTTTCACCAGCGCTATGCTGATTTTGCTCCATCACTTCTTCAGGTTTGGAAAAAGCATTTTGAAGCAAGGAAAGAAGAGAAAACTCCCAACATTACCAAACTAAGAACTGACTTGCGTTTCATTGCAGAATTGACAATAGTTGGGATTTTCACTGATAAAGAAGGTCTGTCTTTAATCTATGAACAGCTAAAAAACATTATTAACGCTGATCGAGAGACCCACGCTCATGTTTCTGTGGTAATAAGCTTTTGCCGGCACTGTGGAGATGATATTGCTGGTTTGGTACCAAGGAAGGTTAAAAATGCTGCAGAGAAGTTTAACTTGAGTTTTCCTCCTAGTGAGATAATCAGCCCAGAGAAGCAACAGCCCTTCCAGAATTTGTTGAAGGAATACTTTACATCTTTGACCAAACACCTGAAAAGGGACCACAGAGAGCTACAAAATATTGAGAGACAAAACAGGTGACATTTAAATACTGTACTTCATAAATTGATATAACAGTGCAGCTCATAGAATGCTTTAAGATTTAAGTGTTGCCACCAAAGTAAAATTATGTGGGAAGATGCGCTTTCTTGCAGAAGGTTCTCTGAAATAACATGCTGAAAGATTTCCCAACTAGAAAATCTTTTAGAGCCTGGAATGTTAAGTAATGGGGCATTAGGTTTTAAATAATTTTTAGAGGGAGACTGTTAAGTAAGTTTCTCTTGCTTTAATTTTTTTTTAACTCCTCCACTGGTTTTGTAACACTCCTCTAACAGCTTGAGACTAACATTTCTTTCCCAGCTGGTTTTGTCCTTTTCCAGTTGGCACCAAGTGATTTTTTTTTTCCCCTTCCCACCCACATATTTCTTATGGACCATATGCTGACATGGATTTGTTTTGTTTATTTTTTTTTGTGTACCAACATTGTACATGGTGTCAGCATAGTTCTAAGTATAGGGGGGAAATCATTTGTCAAAGAAGTGTACTTTCCAAATTTCTTATATATTAAAATATAAAATCAAAATTTGGGCCTAAACTACTCAACCATGTCCTGTTAAACCTTGACTCAGAACATTAAATGCGTCAGGACCTCAGCTAACTATAAATGTCTTAGGCTGGAAAGAAACTTCCACCATAGGCATGTTGTTGAATAAATATGCACTTTTCTCTGAAGCATCTAGTACTGGTCATTGTTGAAGCCAGACTGCTCTCCTAGGTGGACTGTTGGTCTGATAAGGGCACAGGACTGGACAGGACTTCCTGGGTCATCAAGTCCAGTCTTCTTCTATGACAGGCATTCTCATCATATGATCTCATTTGTATGATATGGTAATTCCTATATTCCTAGATTATTTCCAATACACATAAGCAAAAGCACATGAATTGTGCAGTTATGGGTGATGGGCCTGAACCAAAATTCTGGATCTGAAATATGTATCCCAAGTCAAACTGCATATGTCTATAATGTTGAGTACAAAAAAAACCGCTCTGATCTGAACACTTCCAAACTTTGGGGTTTGAAATCTAGACTCAGATTTGAGCTTTCCCGAAGTGTGGGATGATCAGTTTTGGTATTGAACTTGGCCTATTATAAGGATTTAGGTGTGAGATACAAACTCAAGCATCTGTTGTAGTCTAGTCCCATCCCTATCAGTTGTTAAGTGACTGTATTTTGCTATGTAAGAAGTTGGAATGTGTAGTGACTTTTACTATAGTCCAATTCCTTATGCTACTTGCTTGTTCAGAGAGAGTCAAAACACAAGTATAATTTTTTTTGCAACTTAATGAGTGTATACCTTCATTATTTAAACTAATACGGTTACAATTAAGTCTGGGATAAAGACAAATGTAGCAGAAACAGCAGGAACAAGTAGATGAACTTCATTGCTGGCTGATTTGATTACATTTATCCCTCTCCTCCTCCTTTTTGGCTGTTCGTTTAAGCAGCAGCTGTTCTGTGTGTTGAGAGGACTGGCATGTCCAACTAACCATTTAAGTCCACTGACCTGCATCTTTTCTCAATTACCAAGCAGTTAAAAACAGTTGTAAAGTTCTTTAGTTTATAAAATTTTCCAGGCGTATTAGTTTACTAAACTAAAAAGAGTTTTTAAACACCTGACTTGGTGTTTCAGTTACAGAGCTACCAGTATAGAGCTGGACAGGAAACTGTTTTCCTGTCTTTGAAACTCTTTTGGGACAAAACCAAGATCTTTAGACGTTTTTGTGTGTGGAAAAACCACAGGAAAAAGAGAGAGAGGCCCCAGAATAGCCAACAGGTTGTGAGGGCACTCACCTGAGGTATGGTATGGAAGACCCAGGCTCAAGTCCTTTGTCTGAATCAGGCATATCAGGGTCTCCCGTCCGCAGGCAAATGCCCTGGATGTCAGCCTATTAGCTATTCTTAAGTCTGTCTCTCAACCATAAATTCCATCCTGGACCTGAGAAACCTTTCCTGACAAAAGATATAGAACTTAAGGTACAAAGTTTTGTTTTGGTGCATACATGATAAAACAGTATCATTTAGGGTCATGTGGAGATGGTTGCATTGGTTATATGGATTTAAAAATGTTAGCCTTCTGCCTTAATAACAATTGGAGTGAGTGAGAGATTCTTCTCAATTTCTCAAAAATTCCCTTTTCAGCTTAATTTAATGTGATTAATTGTTCTCTTTCTCCATAGACATACAAAATACTTGCATACATTGGTCTTTGGCCTCATGCCATCCAAATCTAATGAGAAGTTTGGGTATGCAATTGAATTTCATTTAGAGAGTGCTTCATTCTAAAAAGTGACTATAAAAATGCTAGCTCCCTCCTTATTCAACAGATCTATTGAAAGACAATCTGCTTTACTGACAAAAATAAGTTTACTGTTTTTTATTCCCATTAGTACTGCAGAACCAACTTGAAGAGGGAGAGAGCTAGAATAGGTTCTTCCTTATATATCAACTGAATTGTTTACTTAGGGCATATATTCACTGCAGAGTTAACTTGAGTTAGCCTAGTTCAACTGAGAGTAGCCATGCTGCAAAATAACACTCAAGCTACCCAGAATGCAGTGTAGTGGTTGTGTTAGCAGCTGACGAGTTGTATTAACTTGAACTGTTGCCTATCCACCCCTCTGGGCCCACCAACTCAAGTAAAAGCACCATCATGCTCGAATGAAGGGTTTTTGCATGAGGATGGGACTCAAATTAGTAGTGACGCTCAAGTTATAACTCAGGTTAATACTGCAGTGAAGGCAAACCCTGTGTTCCGACCAGTTGCCCCTGTATAAATCAACTGAAAGCAGTAGTAGTGTGCACAGTAGTGTTGTTGATAGCAAAACCTGAAGATGAAGTGTAACTAAGGACATATTCTGGCTTGTAGAATCTTTGTTACTAATGATGATGGATCAGCAAGAAAAAACCATGCTTGACTCTCAGATCCCAGGCTGAGTTCTCAAAGCTAACTGCTGGGCAAGGAGGAACTATACTTTTTCTTGTAAATTAAGCATGTTAAGATACAGTAAACATGGAACTCTACAATTTCATCTTTAAACACTTCAGATTAGTACTGAGTTTCAAAGTGTTATTGCATCTATAAACCTAGTGAATAACAGTATAAACAACTTAGTAGTGAGCTCTGACCCACAAGTTCATTTATAGAGGAGGCCAATAAATTTAAAAATCTTTGTCAACTAATTGATTTTCTCCTTTCAGAATGCTTATTTTAGAAGATGGAAACTATCCCTAATTCATGCCTTTACTGGCAAGGAAATACTGTTCATTGTTGCTGAGGTGTAAATAGTACCTTTTAAATGCAGTAAAAAACATTTTTCATTGAAAAACTATGAAACCAGCAAAACTTATGTCACTTGTATGTAGTAATGTCGAGGGGATGGTTTGACGGGACTGCCTACAATGGCATGTGGCCCATCGCCAACTGCCAGTAGCAACAATCCCCAATGGCTGGATATGGGACACTACATGGGGAAAGAATTTGAGTCACTACAGAGAATTCTTTCCCAGGTATCTGCCCGGTGGGTCTTGCTCACATGCTCAGGGTATAACTGATGGCTATATTTGGAGTTGAGAAGGATTTTTGCCCCAGATTAGATTGGCAGAGACCCTGTTTTTTTTTTTTTGTTTTTTTGTTTTTTTGTCTTCCTCTGCAGTGTGGGGCATGGGTCTCTTGCAGGTTTAAATTAGGGCTGTATAGCAATTTAAAAAAAATAATTGCAATTAATCACACTGTTAAATAATAGAATACTATTTATTTAAATATTTTTGGATGTTTTCTACATTTTCAAATATATTAATTTCAATTACAACACAGAACACAAAGTGTACAGTGCTCGCTTTATATTTATCTTTTATTACAAATATTTGTGCTATAAAAAAGAAATAGTATTTTTCAATTCACCTCATACAAGTACTGTAATACAATCTCTTCATCATGAAAGTTGAACTTAAAAATGTAGACTTATGTACAAAAAAAACCTGCATTCAAAAATAAAACAATGTAAAACTTTAGAGCCTACAAGTCCACTCAGTCCTACTTTTTGTTCAGCCAATCACTAAGACAAACAAGTTTGTTTACATTTATGGGAGATAATGCTGCTGGCTTCTTATTTACAATGTCACCTGAAAGTGAGAACAGGTGTTCACATGGCACTGTTGTAGCCAGTGTCTCAAGATATTTGTGTCAGATGTGTTAAAGATTCATATGTCCCTTCATGCTTCAACCACCATTCCAGGGGACATGCATCCATGCTGATGACGGGTTCTGCTCTATAACAATCCCAAATAGCGCGGACCGATGTATGTTCATTTTCATTATTTGAGTCAGATGCCACCAGCAAAAGGTTAGTTTTCTTTTTTGGTGGTTCGGGTTCTGTAGTTTCCACAATGGAGTGTTGCTCATTTAAAACTTCTGAAAGCATGCTCCCTACCTCATCCCTCTCAGATTTTGGAAGGCACTTCAGATTCTTAAATCTTGGGTTGAGTGCTGTAGCTATCTTTAGAAATCTCACATTGGTACCTTCTTTGCATTTTGTGAAATCTGTAGTGAAAACATTCTTAAAATGAACAACATGTGCTTGGTCATCATCTGAGACTGCTATAACATGAAATATGTGGCAGAGCAGGGGACATACAATTCTCCCCCAAGGAGTTCGGTCACAGATTTAATTAACGCTTTTTTTTTTTTTTTTTTAAAGAGCTTCATCAACATGGAAGCATGTCCCCTGGAATGGTGGCAAAGCATGAAGGGGCATACAAATGTTTAGCATATCTGGCACGTAAATGCCTTGCAATGCCGGCTACAAAAGTGCCATGCCAAATGCCTGTTCTCACTTTCTGGTGACATTGTAAATAAGAAGATGGCAGCATTATCTCCCATAAATGTAAACAAACTTGTTTGTCTTAGCAATTGGCTGAAAAAGAAGTAGGACTGAGTGGATTTGTAGGCTCTGAAGTTTTCATTGTTTTGTTTTTGAGTGCAGTTATGTAACAAAAAAATCCTACGTTTGTAAGTTGTACTTTCACGTCAAAGAGATTGCACTACATTTCTTGTATGAGGTGAATTGAAAAATACTATTTCTTTTGTTTATCTTTTACAGTGCAAATATTTGTAATAAAAATAACAATACACTTTGATTTCAATTACAACATAGAATACAATATATATGAAAATGTAGAAAAACATCCAAAATATTTAATAAATTTCAATTTGTATTCTATTTAACAGTGCGATTAAAACTGCGATTAATCGCTATTAATTTTTTTATAGCGATTTTTTTTTGAGTTAATCACATGAGTTAACTGCGATTAACCGACAGCCCTAATTATTATTATTTTTATTTTGTTTTACCATTGAAACTTACCTGGATCAGTTGAACACTGAAGCCGTTTGGGCATGCCTGGAAATTGTATGACATTTTTAACAACTAGAGATTCTCTGCACCTTGAAGTCTTTAAACCATGATTTGAGGACTTCAGTGGCTCAGACACAGGTTTGATACAGGAGTGGGTGGGTGAGATTCTGTGGCCTGCATTGTGCAGGAGGTCAGACTAAATGATCATAATGGTCCCTTTTGACCAGGGCCGGCTCTAGGCACCAGCGAAGAAAGCAGGTGGTTGGGGCAGCCAATGGAAAGGGGCAGCACGTCCGGGTCTTTGGCGGCAGGTCCCTCAGTGCCTCTCCGAGCGAAAGACCCGCCGCCGCCGAAGAATGAAGCGGCGCGATAGAGCTGCTGCCAAAGTGCCGCCGATCGTGGTTATATCTCTCTCTTTCCCACCCCCCACCCCTCCCCGCTTTGCCGCTTGGGGTGGCAAAAAAGCTGGAGCCGGCCCTGCTTCTGACCTTAAAGTCTATGATTCTATATTGATTGAGTACCATGCCCTTGTGGTCAGCTCCCTTCTTTTTCTTCCTTTTAGTAGTCAAAAATTGATGATAAACATAGTAATGCAGCCTGTTCCCAGGAAGGTGGAGTTGACATTATATTCCAAGTTACTGGCTTCTCTGTTTTGAATTGTAGCATCAGGTTCAGACCAATTTTCGGTCATTGGTGACAACTGGTCAGTCAGATGCCACTAACACCACCATTCAAGCTACTATAAAACCAGTCAGAGAGGACAACTAACTGGGAAAATACTGTCATCTTTCATTTGAAAGTGCACATTGGGCCCATTTCACAGTAGTCTTGGAGCCCCTTAGGTATGTCTACACTGTAATTAAAAATCCCTGACTAGCCCGTGCTAGCTGACTCAGGCTCGTGGGCCTCGTACTAAGGCACTGTTTAATTGCTGTGTGGATGTTCAGGCTCAGACAGGAGCCCACGCTCTAGGACCCTGCAAGATGGGAAGGTCCCAGAGCTCGGGCTGCAGCGTGAGCCCAAAAGTCTACACCACAATTAAACAGCCCCTTGGTCAGAGCACCATGAGCCCGAGTCAGCTGGCACAGGCCCATGGGTGTCTAATTGCAGTGTAGACATACTCTTAAGCAACGTCTACACTACCACTTACTTCAGCATAATTTACCGCACTCGGGTGTGAATAAACCACCCCTCCGAGGGCCGTAAGTTACACCGACATAAGCACTGGTGTGAATAGTGCTATATCAGCGGGAGAATATCTCTTGCTGACACAACTAATGCTTCTCGTGGAGGTGGAGTTATTATGCTGATGGGAGAGCTCTCTCCTGAGAGTGTCTTCACCAGATGTGCTATGACAGCTTCACCAGTGTAGTGCTTCTAGTGTAGACTAGCCCTAGGTGTGAGCTTACGCTTGTGTGTAATGGTCCCTGAATCAGCTGAACAGGCCTCAAGGAGAATACCCTTGGCAAAGGAGACCAGCAGGTTCTTTCTGGGTATTTGGGTGGCCCATTCAATGAGGCAATCTACTTCTCTGGTGGAGTGTCCTTGTTTGGTGAAGATGGTTTTAAGTGTGTAAAGGTGTGTATCCTGGACTTTCTTCCCAGAGCATATTCTGTGGTGTCTGAGTCCCTGGCTCTAGATAATAGATTTCTTGGTGTGTTTTGGGTGGTTCCTGGATCTGTGATAGTGTTTGTGATCCATGGGTTTCTTGTATGTAGTTGTCTATAGGGTTCCATTGTTGAAGCTGATCTTGGTGTCCGGGAAGTTGATGCTGGTGCGGTAGTGTTCTAAAGAGAGTTTGATGGATGGGTGGTAGCTGTTGAAGTTTTGATGGAAACCTTTGAGGAAGTTTAGGTCGTCTGTCAAAAGGTAGTACATATCATTAGAGTATCTCAGGTATATCATTGGTTTTGTGGTGCATTTGTCCAGAAATTCTTCCTCAAGGTGGCCAATGAAAAGTTTGGCCTATTCGGGAGCCATACTAGTGCCCATGGTGTGGGCAAAGTGTTTGTTGTTGAATGTAAAATTGTTATAGGTGGGGGTGAAATGGATGAGTGTTTGGGGTGAGTGTTGTCCATTGTCTTCTAGATATTAAGAAAAACAGAGCCAGCATCAAATTGATGATTTCTATTCTTTTGGTTTTAAAAAAGCCCAAGAGGATTACTATTGTTACTTCTTGTTTGAATAGTGTGGTGCATGATTTACCACTTGATGTCTTGTAATGCCAAAGTCATAAACTGGCTTAAACTCCACCCTTTGGTCTTTACAAGGCCTGTTCTGCATTGTATGATGCTTCTGTTACTTTAATTTCCAAGGAATCAAAGGTAAAAGAGACACAGACATGCAGCTGTATATAATAGACCAGCCTTTAACATTGGTGGTGGTTCTTTGCCATAAGATGGAATTGCCAGAGATTGTTGTTTTCTCCAGGATGCAAGTTTAATAAATTAACAAATATCGTTGACACTAATTTATTAAGATGTTGATTTAGAATAGATGAGAGCAGCCAAATAAACTAAAGAATACAATACAAAATCCTTCACAGAATACTTTCAAGTTTGGGGAGGAGATTTTGTTCAAGCCTAGAATGTATTTCTGATTTATGACATGGCTTACATCCATGTTCTGTGGCTCTAGCCAAATACTGAAATGTGCTTAGAATGCATATGTATCAAAAATTGCTCAGGGCTTGATATCTTTTTTTTCCTTAACTAATGACAAGGAATGCTCCTGTAGACCAGTCATGGTTTTAAGATATGAAATTTTATAAATCAATATTGCTAGAAACAAATAGTACATTATGAAAATCTGATATTTTCATTTTTATGGGTATACGTAATATTTATTTCTAGACCTAGCTACCAGATATTTCACCTTAATATCATGCCATTGTGATTAATCTTGCTTTTTTCCACTTGAATTCAGTATGCTTTTAACAGCTGCTGTCTGAATCTAAAAAACAATCTTGCCTTTCAAACTGTATAAAAGATAAATCAGAAACTGGAGTTGACTAGAAACTGACTTGAAAAGGAATAATTTCCGTTGAGTACCTGGGATGAAATCCTGGCCCTATTGAAGTTGACAGGAGTTTTGTTATTGACTTCAGTGGACTACAGTAGGGCCACAACTTTGCCCCTAATGTCCCAAATACATCTGGTAACTTTCATCTTAGTTGCCATTTCTGAGGTCTCTTAACTTGGGACAGTATTTGCTGAGGGCATGTCTACACTACAAAGGTAAGTCATCTTAATGTAACTCGATATCCAGCCACCACAGTAATTAAGTTGGTTGTGTGTGTCCACACCAAGATAATTGTCTCCTGGAGGCCAATTCAGTCAATTTACACAACCCATAGCCCGAGCCCTGCTGCCTGGGGGGACTTGGGCTTCGACTTCAGCCTTGGGCTTCAGCAAGTCTAATGCTGGCTCTCGGGTCACAACCCACAGTTTGAGAACCGGTGGTGCAGAATAACCTGATCTATTTTTTGTGGCTCATTATGACAGTGGCCTACAAGCCACTGATATACCACATATTTCCTGAGGAACATTACTTATTGTTTAACTACCGTGCGACAATATTTTAAGAAAGCAAGTTTCATGTATGTTTTACATGCCTACCCAGAAGAATAGAGAGGATGTGTAGAAATAACAGAGTAGAAAATATAAATGTGCACAGCATTTGTGCACATGCCTCTATTTTAAATGTGATTAATAGGGGAAATTTTTGACCCATCAGTCTCTCTGCTCTTCCTTTCATAGGAAAGGTATGATCGTAGGATGGTGTTTCTAGCAGAGGCTCATAGAACTTTAACCTGAGTCAGTTGTAATTAAATAGGTGAGACAAGAAAGCAGTAACCTTTTTTTGCTCACCACATCACCCTAAAGTTCCCACGATAAGAAGAGTGCTATACTATTTAGGACCTGTAAATGTATTTGAAAAGAGGTTTTGATTAAAAACAGCATTTAAAATTTTTCCTTGATTAAAAACTGTCAGGTATAGTACTGCAAAAGAAACCAAAATGTACATTCAGAACTAATTCTTTTAGACTTTATTTCAAGGATGTCAGCTCATGTTACTGGCCTAACTTGGAAATAAACGTCTCCTTCTTAAAACTGGCATTTCTGAGCCCCTTGGTGATGACCATCCCCTTCTGATACCAGCACAATGGAAGCCTATTGTCATAGACTGCAAAGCAGTCTTTATCCTGCTTTAATACTAGTCAAACATTTTACTTAAAATATTGCACATTAAAACTCTTGCATTACAGAATATTTAAGGGAAAAAAAGCTTCAGTTCTTTCAGTCTCCATAATCAGATTATTCTTAATGGCATTAAAGTTAAAATGGCTGTGGTTGTAGTACATTTAAGTTTATTGAATTTGGTATTAAGTTGAATTTTGATAGTAGTGTTAGCCAGATTGTTGTCTCTCATTGCTACTATCTCATTTAGTGTGTGTGTATAATTCTGTGCCAGAGGGAAGACTGATGATGTTCAGTGGAAAACTTTGTCAATGGTTCAGTATAGGTCAAATATATCTTTAATAAGCGGACAGTGTCTGATTGTATTTTTTTTTAAATGTGCTCTTTATAGGCGTATTCTGCACTCTAAAGGAGAGTTGAGTGAAGATCGACACAAGCAGTATGAAGAATTTGCAATGTCCTATCAGAAGCTGTTGGCAAATTCTCAGTCTCTGGCTGATCTGTTGGATGAAAATATGCCGGATCTTCCCCAAGACAAACCAACTCCAGAGGGTAGGACATCTTTTAGGGTTGATAGGTTATACGATACTGAAAGCTTTCCTTTATGGGGAAAAAACAAAACCCTCCCATTGATCTGTGTTTTCAGTGCAAGTTTCCTTTTAAATGTTAATAGCTTAGCCTCTCGCATTTTAAATATATGGAATAGGGCAAAGCATTCCAGGGTACGCTAATAAAGCTTCATTTTAAATTTATTAATCTCCAGTGAATTATTGAGCCTAAATAGGCCATCATAAGACCAAAATAAATGTGGAAACTGGTGGGCGCCCTATGCACCCAAGGGCATGGAAGGTTAAAGAAAAAGATTGGACTATTATAAGTGTTAATTAATTTTGGCAATCTCTTGTACCTCTGTTGGGATGACTTTATTAAGGTGGTAAGGTAATGGGTGCCATGTAAAGAAAATCATATTTGTACCTTTAATCCTCCCCATCACTTTAAGTAAGTATATTTCATTTATTTTTATAAGAATTACTTGGTCAGATAACTAGTCATTCACAGGCTTTATTTTACATTAGAGAGACCATTTGAATCTGAAGATTATATGAGCTGCATTTAAAATGAAATTTTAAATATGAGAAATAGAGAAATATGCAAACAAATACTATGAAATTTCAGTTAAATTCTCTTATTTCCTTACTAGTTGTTTCCTTGTTTCTCAAATCGCACAGAAGGCACTTTGTTTTAATTACTTCTTAATGTAGTTTGAATCTGCTTTAGAAGAGTTATCTGTTAATTGCATCTCAGAGCTTAGCAATTCAATATAGTTTTAAAATATACTAATTGCCCTTTAAAGTATTTCAAAATACAGCTAGGAAAATGTTGCACGACCTGTTAGATAAGCCACTAGATGGCTACCTGTGACCTTTGAATATGACGGAAAAATTTAATGTGCCACACTAGTCTTGATGGCTGTCAAATTTTAGTATTTACATATTCAGATTCTTGAAATCATGGACCTCAGGTTTGTCCAAAAATGCTCAAGCTTAAAAAAAAAAAATTGCTAAATCTGTTTTGAAGAAGAAATGTGATTATCCCAACAGTTTCCTTACCATGATTGCCAGACCCAGATTAAGCAGCGTGTAGTTGCACAGGGCCCCCAGTCTCAGGGGGCCCCGACCACCTGGCTGGTTTTTAACCCTCTTGACCAGTTTTTCTTCCCTTTTGCTGGTTGCAATGTGCTGAGGCTTTTTTCCACTTCTAAGTTACAAGTTGGGGGGAAAACCCCAGCACAATGCAACTGGCAACCCTTGCTGCATGCATGCGCTGCGGCACCACAGCTGCTTCCACTACAGCATTCAGGTCATGTGCCTACTGGTGCCACACCCAGGTCCCACTCCACATGCCAGGCCCTCAATGAGCCCATGTGGCGGCTCCTGCTCCTTTCACTGCCAGAAAGCAGGGCAAACCTGAGGTTCAACAGCAGGGAGGAGTAAGAAGCGGGGACCGGAGTGGGTGAGGCAGCGATTCCTGGGAGCTTGGGAGGGAGTGGTAGGGGGCTTCCCTGGGCTAAGGCTCCCGAGAGGAGGTAGGTGTAGGGGCTTGTGGGCTAGCAGGCTTGTGGAGGGGTGGGGGTGCCTGAGAGAGGAACAGGAAGATCAGGCTTCTGTGGGTGGGTGGGGGTGCACTGAATGGGGTAGAGGAGGGTCAGGATGCTGTGGGGAGGGGCAATGGCTAGTTTTTCTGCTTCTTGGAGGTGGCAACCCTATGGGCCTCAACCAGATTGGCCCAACTGTTCCCCCCCCAACCATGAGTCAAAATTCAGTGAGTGGCTTTGTACCCTGGCGCAGTGTTGTAGCGTTACTCATGTTTGGTGTCCTATGCAATTGGGCCCCTTGGAGTTCTCTTGGATTATCACTGCAATCGGGCACATAAGTGTAGGGGGGCTTTTGAGAGAGGTCTGGTTTCTCAGATCCCTTTTTGGAGTTCAGCTCACCTCTGGCTCCTTCTGCTTCCTTGCCGGTGTTGGTATTATGAGCCATCAGAGCCAGTCTGTCCTCTTCAGGTCCTGGTAGCTTGCCATTGACACCCAAGACCATCTTTCTTCCCAGGGGAAAAGAACTACCTTTCCTGCTCATTCAGCTACTGAAGCCCAGTCCCACAATAAGTGTCTGAGTCAGTCCCTTATCGGTTTTGATTCGAATCAAACTTGTGCCCAGAGCCAACTGAGACTCAGTACCCCTTTCCCTTAGGAGCTGGTAAAATTCTTCTCTTAGCCTGTCTGTTTTTCAAAAGGCAGCAAAGCAACTCTCGCGCAGGAGGCTCGGGTATCCAATGCACTAATGTACTTGCTGTTTTCTGATTTGTATGGTCTCTGGCAAGTTTTGCTTTTGTCAAAAATGTCTTTCCCCTATAACTGGGGAGTCAGCTAGGCATGGTCAAGCTACTTTCTAAGCCACGTTTCATAAATACTTCCAAGCGCTTAATCTACTTAGGAAATGTTTCCCCAAGCCAAGAAAGAGTGAGTGAGTATTCAATTAAAAAAAAAAATTGCAATATATATTTAAATGAAATATTCCTAGATGTATTATTATTAACATGTCATATTAGTTCTTTAAGTCTTTTCCAAACTACTAGTAATAAAATGAGATGTTCTCATATTTATAAACTATATATCATGTGCTCTGTCTAGTTTAAGGAATGTGAGGAGGGTCCAATTTCCATAGTGCACAGGGCCCCAACATTTTTTAATCCATCCTTGCTATTACCCCTGGACTGCAATATTCCAGATTTTGCAAGCATTTACTTATATCCTGAAAATAAAACATTTGTGGCAGTTGGTGTATGAACACCCCCAAAATGATGTATCTAAACACTTTCTGATGCTAATATGGATGAATTCTACTATAACTCCATTTAGCAATCTCGTTTAATATAATTGTGATAACTTTTTGATTGCACAATGTAGTTTTGTAATTTTATTGTTTTGATTTCTTCTTGAATGAGACTAGTCTGGTTGTACTTTAAGATGCTGGGGATATGTGTTTAATAACTTTCAATTTTAGAAGCCAAGGTAGTGGCAGTAACAGAAAAACATTTTTTTAATGTTTAACCCAAAAGTCTGTCTTTTTAAAATGAGATGATCTGAAACTTGTGTATGTAGCTTTAACCCTTCGCTTAAAATAAAATCTTTCTTTTAGTATGATGATATTGATGAATTAGTCACTTGTGCATTCTGTGATTCCAGAACATGGGCCTGGCATTGACATTTTTACCCCTGGCAAACCTGGAGAATATGACCTGGAAGGGGGCATCTGGGAAGATGAAGATGCTCGAAATTTCTATGAGAACCTTATTGATCTAAAAGCTTTTGTGCCAGCCATTTTGTTTAAAGATAATGAAAAATGTTCTCAGAACAAGGACTCCGGCAAGGATGAATCTAGAGGTAAAACAATTTGGAAGAAAATGTTCTAGATCTTTTAAAAAAAATTTATTGTGTCAACAGCCATGCAAGTTTGGCAAAAGTAATAAGTCTTTAGTTGAAATACACCTCTACCCCGCTATAACGCGACCCGATATAACACGGGTTTGCATATAGCGCGGTAACCCCGGGGCTCCAGCAGCGGGGCTCGGGCGGCGCTTTAAAGGGCCCAGGGCTCTAGCTGCCGCGGGGAGCCCCGGGCCCTATAAATCACTGCTGGAGCCCTGCCACTGCTACCCCAGGGCTCCGGCAGCGGGGCTCGGGCAGCGCTTTAAAGGGCCTGGGGCTCCGGCTGCTGCAGAGAGCCCAGGGCCCTATAAATCACCGCTGGAGCCCTGCCGCTGCTACCCCGGGGCTGTGGCAGCGGAGCTCTGGTGGCGATTTAAAGGGCCCGGGGCTCTGGCCGCTGTGGAGAGCCCAGGCCCTTTAAATCACCGCTGGAGCCCTGCTGCCGCTACCCCGATATAACGGGGTTTCACCTATAATGTGGTAGGGATTTTGGGCTCCCGAGGACCGCATTATATTGGGGTAGAGGTGTAATCATTATTTGTATAGCAGTCAGAACACTCCACCAGAATGGATGATCTTGAGCACAGAAATGATGCTAGATAGATAATCTGAACACAAAGTTATCTTATGAAAATAATAATAAATAAAAATGAGTACTGATAGCATTTTTCACCCAAATATATCAGTGTGTTTTTGGTGGGTAAGTATTAATATTTGTATCTTTATATATGAAAGAAACAAGGCTCTGCCTTCAGTGCAAAGAAAGGTATGGTTTTTTTTTACATTGAGATATTAACTTGTTAGCTATCTTGATGCAAATTTCTAGTGCAGACAAGGCAGGAGTAGTTTTTACCTTGATGTAGCTAATCAAGGTCAACCCTATCCCACTCGCACCCCCAACACACCTGGGATTGACTAGGATTAGCTGCATTGAGGTAAAAACTACCTGTGCCTTAACTATTTCAGTGCAAAAATCCTAGTAGAGACATCTTGATGTAAAAACATACCCCTCCCCCCCCCCCGTAAAGGGAAAACTTAAGTCACAAAGGTTAATGCCTGTCAGGAATAGAACTCAAATCATTTGTCTCTGAGGGCTTGTCTATACAGCAAGTTACTGTTTGGCAAGTCATGGTGTGAATCTATAGTGTACCAGCTGGTGTACTGTAGATTCACATTCTGGCTTGACGAGCAGTAACTTGCTGTGTAGACAAACCCTCAGTCCTGTGTACTAACCACTAAACATATTGCGTGCCCCAGTGAATACTATTTCCATATAAAGCACATGCTGCTTGAAAGTTTTATCAAATATTTTGTTAGTTTATGAAAACTAATAGATAAGTTATATCAAACTTTTTAAAAAGAGGGCTATATGTTTATAAAATGCAAACTAATTTAATTTAGAGATTATAGATACAGTATGCAGAAGAATAGTAAAACCAGGAAGAATACTTCTGGTTATGTTTAGGTTGTAGTCTTAGGCATACTAGGGAGTAAGAACTCTAGCTATGATGAATTAAGATGGTCATCTAAGAAAACAAAAATATATTTTAGTGTCAGATTCTTATCATAAGTTCACAGATTTTAAAACAAGAACAGGGTATTAGATCATCTAGTCCAACCTCCTTTATAACACAAGCCAAAAAATGCCTGCTGTACAATGTTTTCTGATGGGAGCAAAAAGGAGATACTTAAAAGTTCATTGTAAATTTTTTGAAACTTGCAGTGTTTTGGGGACTGAGACTTGGCCTTGCATATCTCACATTTCAGGCAGATTTGGTGGGGATGTTGTAACTGTAAAATCTCCATGGAAGATACCACTGTTTTCCCTAGGTAGTCTCGCCTCTTAAGTGTTTGCACTCTCATCTTGGACTGTGCAGAACAGCTTCACAATCCTATTGTTCTCAAGTTGTACCACTTCTGGCATGACGTGATGTCATGGGTGCCACACATTAAAACAGAATAAAACTTCACTTTATGCACGATGGGCCAGCCTTTCAAAGTTTATCAGCAAACTCACGTATTCAAGTTCTTGGGTCCTCCCAGTTGTTGGGATTTTTCTCCCTGATTTGGACATGCAAATCCTTGGACATTCCAATTTAAAACTTTGAACTTCCACTGGGGATTTCAACAGATGCCACTTTTGCAATTTTGGGATTATTATTTAATCATGATATTAAACATAGGCATTCTACACATAACCTATAGTGTCCTAACAAATAACATATTCCAGCCCAATGAAGACACAGCAAGTACAATTGGGAACAAACCAAAACACTCAAAAGGGGTGAGCACCTTTTAACAGAAGCACATCACACAAGGAAGTGAGTTAGGAAGACTGTTCCAGGCATGCATGGCGACATGAAAAATGGCACAAAGTCCAGAGTTGACAAATAAGACTAATGTATTGGTCAGAAGAGAAGTGTGCTGCTTCTCCTTACACATGAATAAGGGTGTGTAAGAGGTCAGACTAGAGATGCAGGGATGCACCAACATGTCTTACAATATTTTTAAGCCATGTCTACTTGTGTTAACATTGCATGTAAAATATTTCTGCTTTCTTTTAAACAGATTCAAAAGATGCCAAGGATAATAAGGATGTTGCTGGTAGTGAGGATTTGGAGTTGGATATGGAGAATTTGGACATTAATGATGATAACTTGGAGTTAGACTGTGGAGATGAAACAGAAGATCTCACAAAAAAGCTTCTTGATGAGCAAGGTAAAAGCAGAGCTGATAAACATTTTTAGGGCTACTGTATTGTTTTCTAACTGGGTCCTAGTATTTCTTCAATTCCTTGTATTAATGTGGAGGGATGTCTTTAATTCTTTTGGGCAACATCTGTAGTAGCTAGAAGCAGTTTTGAGCAAAGTCATTCCTTCCTCCATCCTATTATGCTCAGCAGGCACTTCTAACAAAACAGTCAATAAAGAGAAATAAAAGTGCTCTGCAGAAAGAAAAGAAAACTGGTCCAAAACTGCTAAAGGATAAAAATAGAAATAATAACTTCTCCTATTCAGTAAAGACACTAAGATGGTTTAGTAACCACTATTTTGAGGTTTGTGTGGTGAAGGTTAATAGATACCTTTGTTACTACTTTGGCATTTGATTGAATTGTGAAAAAGATTAAATGTAAAGGCAGTTCTACTCAGAAAAGTGACAGTAATAAATGGCATGTGAGACTTCATGTTTGTGTATCAATTATCTTATCAAATGTGTTCAGTTTACAAGTAAAAAGATATTTTACTTTTAAGCCCAATGTGGACTCTAAAAGTCAAACAGGATTCTTTCTTTCTTGTGCATCATCATCAGTAATACAGATTTTGCTTTCAGTAACAACTATTGCCTTCTCTGATAGACACTTAGTAAACAGTCCTGCTAATGATGCACAAGAAGGAATAGAAACCAGCACATCCTCTCTCATGTAACAATGTTAGCATAGATAGCAGAGGTGAAAACTGGAAAAATCTAAGTTGGTTGTGGTGTACTCCCACCTGTGAGTTATGAGCTTCCTACCGGTGCTGCTGAACTTTGGGAACCTTCTGAAAAGCAGCGCCAAATGTCAGGAGCCAAGGGCCATGTACTTCTCAATTACTTCCTTTCTGCAATTAGCTGCAGGAGAAGGGACTTTCTTTGTGTGCATTGTGTCTCTTGGTTTTCCCAGAGGTGGATGCGAATGATGCTCTTCATTTTGCCTGGGGATATTTCTTCCCCAGATTTCTGCTCTGTGTATAAGGTCTTCACATTTGAGCCTGCATCAATGGTCAGTAGAGACTCTGTGGCCTCAAACCAGAAGCCTTATGAATCCCACCCCAAAATATGTTAAGTCATCCTTCTGCCCCCATGAAGGAATAGACTGCATTTGACTTCAAAGCCAAACAAAGCGGGGATGACTTTGGCAGTGAAGAAATTTGTGTCAGTTCCTAAGTCTTAAGTGGGCTCTGAAGCCTCATCAGTTCAAAGATGTGAGCCTTTAGGAGCAAGAACTTAACCAATTCTGAGGGTAATTTCTGCTTCTAAAGTACTTGCCACAGGATCTCTTTTATCAGGGCCAGGAGCTTCCCATGTACCAAAGAGACCTAGTAGGCATGCTGGCGGATGGGTGGTTTTACCAGCCAAGGAATGGAAATAAAGTTCCAAACCTCAGTCCTGACCACTTGTGATGGTTCAGATGTGTTGACTCCTATGATGTCATCAGCTCTTTTGGAGTCAGTACTTCTGGCTTGAATCTTTGGGCCTTTTGTCTGAGGCTTAAATCTGTGTTGCAGACCACCTTTTCAAGGGGGAGGGTCTTTTCAGCTATAAGATGGATGACCTGATGAAGAAGGTGAAGGACACTGAGTTCAGTGCTAGGTCATAGTGCATCCTCAATGGGTGCTGTTTTTCAGAAGGTTTTTGAAGCTCAGTGGTGCTGAGGGTGCCTCCACAATGCAAAAATATGCAGAGGCAACACTACCAAAAAAGTAGAGTTATGGTAAGTAACGAGCTTTATAACTCCAGTCATCAGATATGATTCTGATACACAGAGGGAGCAGATCCATTGACTAAGAATGTGCCATCTTTACATAGTCACTTTTCATAGTAGACCTACTTCAAGTATATTTTTTCAAAGTACTGCTAAAATACAGTAACTCCTCACTTAGTCGTCCCGATTAACATTGTTTCGTTGTTACGTTGCTGATCAATTAGGGAACACGCTCGTTTAAAGTTGCGCAATGCTGCCTTATAACGTTGTTTGGCAGCCGCCTGCTTTGTCCACTGCTTGCAGGAAGAGCAGCCCGTTGCAGCTAGCTGGTGGGGGTTTGTAACCAGGGTGGACCAGCAGCCCCCCTATCAGCTCCCCGCTTCCCTAAGTTCCCTGTGCGGCAGCCACCCAGCAGGCTATCAATTGCCGGCAGTTCAGCTGTCCCTCCCCCCCACTGCCATGTGCTGCTCCTGCCCTCTGCCTTGGAGCTGCTCCCTGGAGCCTCCTGCTTGCTGTGCGGGGAGGAGGGAGGCTAATGTCAGGGTGTCCCCCTCCCCCCTGCTCCCCGCTAACCCCTTCTCCATAGAGCATGGGGGGGTCATGACAGGGCTCAGGACGGAGGGAGCTTGCTGGCCGCAGATGCTGTCTCAACTTCCTGATCTGTTTAAAAAGGCAATGTACTTAGAGTGGTGTCAGTGTACTTAAAGGGGCAATGCGTGTCTCTCTCTCTCTCACTCACACACGGTGTGTGTCTGTCTGCCATGCTGTCTCCCCTCCCTCCATTCATGCTGCCATGTAGAGTGTAAGGCTACATTAACAACAATGTGTTAGCCCTTGGGGGCTCAGCCGAATGCTAGTTCATCATTTTGCAGTAAGACATTCTCTGGGAAATATCCCACCCTCTTCCACCCTCTAACTTCACCACCTCAACCAAGCTTCACAATCATCATTGCTGTGTACGGTATTCAATTGTTTGTTTAAAACTTATACTGTGTGTGTGTGTATATGTATATGTATGTGTGTGTGTGTGTGTGTGTGTGTGTGTGTGTGTGTGTGTGTATGTATATATATATATATAGTTTTTTGTCTGGTGAAAAAAATTTCCCTGGAACCTAACCCCGCGCGCCCCCCACTTACATTCATTCTTGCGGGGGAATCGGATTCGCTTAACTTCGTTTCGCTTAAAGTCGCATTTTTCTAGAACATAACTACAACGTTAAGCGAGGAGTTACTGTAGGGTAATTGCTATAAATTGCATGTCTCTGTGAGCATCAAGATGTTCTCCATGCCCCAGAGAGCTTTCTAAATAGGACAGTGCAAACAAATGCAACACATTAAGGAAGGGAGCAAGTATTAATGAGAAGGAAGAAAGGATCCTCCCTCCATCCAGTCTCTCATTTTGGCTACTGATATTTCTTCTCAACTTCTCCTTTCTATGCTACTGTCATCAACACGAATGACCTTCTTGTCACTCAGTGCCACAATTTGGGGGTAATTTTTTGATTGCCCAGCTCCTCTTGCTGCAGACATCCAGGCTTAATACAAATCCTTCTGTTCCTTCCTCCAAGGTATCCAAGATTCATCCTTTTCTTTCCATCCCTGAAACTAAATCTCACCTTCATGTCCCCATTATATCCCGCTTTGCCTGCTGTAGCATCCTGCCAAACACCCATGTTTCTTTTAATCTATATAAAATGTTGCAGCTTAAGTCATCTTCCTTGCCTGTCATTTTGATCATCTCACTCCTCCTTTGGAATTCCCTTTCATGACTCCACATCCCCTAAGTTACCACAGACAAGCTTATGGCCATCAATTCAAAACCCTGCATAAATCATCCCTTCCTTACTTATCCTCCTTGTTCTTGCTTTGTCTTGTCAACCATCCAGCTGTCAGCTTCTTGCATAAATATATCCATGTCTTCTTCCATGTGGTGGTCAATTTTCCTTTATCTGCACTTCCTGTACACTCTTGGTATTTAAGTCCCCCTTGAAGACCCACTTTTGCCATTCTGCTCACGGCATCTGTTTGACATGTATAGTTAAAAAAAAAAAAAAACCTGTTTACCTCTTCCTCCAACCTATGTCTACTTGTCTGTCTGTCCATCCCTTAGATTGTGATATCTTTGGGGCAAGGACCATTCCTCCATGTCTGTCTTGAAAGCACATTGTGGGCACAACATTAAACACATAAAGTGATTATTTCTGAGAGATGTATCTTTTTTAGGTGAGAGGAGTATAGGGGGTTTTGCAGAAAATGAGATCAGAAATGCAGTCAGGTGATGTCTTGACATACTCTCAGCTCACTGACACCCCAAAAAATTGGGAAACAATGCCAGGTTACCAGACTAACATTCACAATTGAACAATGACAGTGCACAGATCCTAGCCAGTATAGTAGGGAGAGTATGTCTCAAACATGTCACAAAATACAAATGGACCAGTAATTACGTTAGCTCAGCATGGAAAGTTAAGATCCAGAGTCAATGGTGGGGCATGGAGGGGGAAGGGACTCTTTCAAAATAAAATGAAAATTATTACGGCATAACAAAATATCAAATGTAAAAATTCGTTTGCTTGAAGCATATGGAGGAATCTATTGAATGCATTGTGAGTGCACTGCAAACCCTACATACTGTACACAAATTTAGGGAAGTGTGTTACAAAAATCTAAACTGAGACACTTTTATAAATTTGGTGTTTAATTTCCATTTGATAAGTTGATTGTTTTTTGAGCTTGATTCCTCCATAACCAAAATCTAGTGACAGTTTGGCAAGATGGCCTTACCTGGGGAAGCTGAGTGTCTTTCTCTTAACCACCAAATGCATCATTTGGTGACATTTTTTTCTTACATTGTGGAAGATTGTAAGATAACTGTAATTGAGACAATATATTATTACCATTATTAATCATGTTTCTTATGGTAGTGCTTAAGGACCAACCAAGAATGGAGTCCCATTGTGCTAGGCACTGTACGCACAGAGTAGTTGACAATCGCTGTCCTGAAGAGCTTACAAACTAAATAGATAAGACAGATACAGGGTGGGAAAAGGGTAGAACACACAAGTAGAGTGAACAAAGTGAAGGCAGAAAACGTCATGTTAGTGCCACAAAATTTTGGGGTGGTTTAGTTAGGAGGGGATAAGTTTTTAAATGAAAAGAAAAGTGAAGGGAGAGGGAATGTTGAAGGGAAGGGGGAGGTGATGGGGACAGAGTAAAAGAGAACAGGGGAAGAGGGCCATGTGTGGAGTGAAGCTGAGATGAAGAGACTAAGGGTACGTCTACACTACGAGATTAATTCGAATTTAGATAATTCGAATTTGGGAAACAGATTGTATAAATTCGATTGTGCGCGGCCACACTAAGCACATTAATTCGGTTTTTAACCACATTAATTCGGTGGTGTGCGGCCACACTACCCCATTAATTTTAACCACATTAATTCGGTGGTGTGCGGCCACACTACCCCTAATTCGAATTAACAAAATCGATTTTGGTGCTACTCCGCTCGTCGGGGTGGAGTACAGAAATCGATTTTAAGCGCCCTTTAATTCGAAGTAACTGGCTCCGTTGTGTGGACGGGTTAAGGATTAATTCGGATTAACGCAGCTAAATCCGAATTAAAGTCGTAGTGTAGACCAGGCCTCAGGGAGTGGGAGGGAGAAGGTTGGAACAAACAGCCAGTCAACATGGAGTAAAGAATGTCACGTCAAAACTGTAGCAAGTTCTCTGAATATCAGAAGCTGCTTCTGTAGCTGGTTCTACTGTCTGGCATCTCTGACTGATTTCTCTCTGCAATTTTTCCCTAAGATCACATAACATGGGGAGGGAAGGCTCTAGTTTCTCTGAAGTGGTCTCCTCTGCACAGTTATGGGTCTGGAGCATGCTAGAGGGAGGGATGGCTCCATCTGGCTCCCATTTTACCTACTCCTCCCCACCCAGTGCAGCAGTCCCTGCTTTGCCTGCTTCTGCAGCTGCTCCTACCAGCTGAAGTCTAGTTTAGTCTAGTCAGCTAGAGTTGAAGTCACAGACTTGTCATTACTAGAAAAAATTAATAAGGGGTGTCTTCTGTGCTTAGTGTGCATGTATAAGTCTCACACAACAAATGTGCTTTGAGATCTTCCAAATAAACCACATAATAACCGCAAAATTATGTAAGCAATCCAGTCCTCTGCCAGCTATTTGAAATTTGCTAGTGAATATTTTTCACTATTAAAGACACTGGTATGCTTACTGAAATGTTTAACATTTTACTCCTGTACACCCTAGTGCTAAAACTATTAAAAAGCTTGCCATAGTTTAAAGTGTCTGGCATGGTGTGCATCCACCTGTTAAACTAAGTTATAAAACATAACTGTTTGTCATTGGGGCAGTTGCAAATACAATGCTGATTAAGGACAGTTTAACACATCTGTTCTATAAACAGGTTTCTCACCACTTGTTAATCAAATAGAAACACTAAATTAGCTTTGAGATTGCTTTAGTTAAACCATATTTGTGAAACCATATTCATTATTGTCTTTCCATCACACTATGTGAAAGGGATCTTTGAAATAGCAGTCTGAGGGTAAAGGACAGGGGAAACATAGGTGATAAAATTGAGAGAAATCTCTTTTCTCACCGCTTAGTCTGCATTTCTAACACGCTCATTACTGCATTATATAAGTGCTGATACATAACAATGATTCACAGAGAAAGGATACTACCCAAGTGTGACCAAAATCCTGTCTTTTCCACGTTGAAGTTTTGCTCCCCATTTTTTATATCATTTAACTAATTAAGGGAAAGAAATTGAATCAATCGTTTTAAAGCACAAGAAGAGATTTTTCTTGCATGTTTGCAAAGTGTTCCCAATGCTGGTGCAGAAAACTTGGTGTTTTTGGTTTTGCTTCTTTGTGATTGGTGCTATGTAGTTCTGAAACTGCCTTTTCTGTTGTTGTGGTGACAGTAACTATTTATCCTAAATTGTGAGAGTCTCAAGTTCCTTTAGCTATGTACACAAGTGTCTTTGATAAGTAATACCGCCCTCCGCCCCACCCCCAATAAAAAAATGTTAAAATGACCACCAGTTGGCTGGCCTGATATTCCAATTGCTGCCAATGCAGAAGAGTCATTTCAGTTTCTGAGCTTTCCAGTCCATTAGGGAGTGGTAACAACACAGTGGAATCCACAGATTTTCACCTTACCCATAACCAGTTACTAGGAAATTACTTGAACTAGTTTTTACATGTCACCAGGCAGTGGATAGAATTGACATCTTTTGAAGATGTCCTCTTGGATTCTAAATTAAATTCCAAAATAAATTAACTTTGTCAGTTTGACTTTACACAAAGAAGACTATTACTATGTAGCACGGTATGTGTGGAGTTTTACTGATGAATAAGAAGAAACAGTCCCCACCCCAAGAAGCTTAAAATTTCTGTTGAATGTAACTATAATAAGTAATAAAACCATGAGGACGGAAAGGGAGGATATGATACTCAGAAGGAAAGTTGAAACTGCTCATTGAAAAGTATTATTTATAAGGGATTTGGATCAACTTATTTTACTTCTGTCATGTTTATTTTGGGTACATTTTAATTTTGTTTTATTTTTAGTATGCTCAGGCAGGAGAGAGGGAGCAGATAGCACCGGAGCTGAAAATAGTGACGGAAAACAAGCTGAAAGAAGTGAGTTTTGAGGTGCTGCTTGAAGGAGAGGAGGGTGCTTGGCATGTGGAAGGAATGAAGCTGTGTGGAGGGAGACAAAGGGAGTATTAAGAAGAGAGGACTGGACATAGCGAAGGGCACAAAGGTGTTGGGAGTAGAAGGAAGTTAGTGTCGATACATAGCTAGGGTTTAAAATAGGCTTCTAATACCAAGTAGTCTACAACAGAGAGAACGTTCAGAAAATGAGTTTGAATATTATGCCTGTTACTCAATATCCTATTTAGAGGACTGGGAAAGCTGTTCTAGAAATAAAAAGAAAAAAACAAGATGTCGAGAAATATCCTGCTGTGAATTATCCTGAGGGGTTGGATGGCTCAGGAAGCTGGTAATTATGATCTGGAATCTTTCTTCACTAAGAAGACTGTACTTCAGTAAAGCAGTTAAAAACTTGTGTAATGTTAAGCATGTGCTTAAGTGCATTGCTGAATCAGGACCCAAGACACCAACTTGAATCCAGTCCTGGTTAGTAGCATCTGAAAGCTCTCACCATGTAATGGCTGCTCAGTTTGAAATTAATTTGATGATTTTAATACAGTGGACAGGTGATCACCTCACACAAAACGCTTCCATAATTGTTACTAACTTGTTCCTTTGTCAGCTGTCTAAACAGAGAGGCCAAAGACCAAAAGGACCTAGAGGCTGAACCAGTCTCTGCTCCCTGGTAGGGTGGAGCTTCTAGGGGAGATAGAAGCTACTAGCCCAGCTGCTGAGAAGCAGCTGTGGAGCCAGGGGAAGCAGTACCAGGAGCTTCTATAGAATTAGCTGGTGGAATGTAGTCATTGTTATATACTAATGGAAGAGGGGTTAGCAGGAGAGGAACCCATGCTTCCTGAGATAGTGGGGCGGGAAGAGGCAAATGTAGCTTCTACAGCAATAACAGTAGGTATTATGAATAATTCATGACCAAAAGGCTCCAGTCTCTTCCCCATCTCTATCAGCCTATTCCCCTGAAAATTATAAGACCCCATCAACTTGACTTGTAGTAAATTAAAAAAATTTTCAGATACTACAACAGTATTGGTATCCCCTGCCAATTTTTGTGGCTTTTCTTATTTAAAACATTTTTCTCTTTGTTGCTGTGAAAGACTCCTGGAATAAAAGGGGGAAACTGAGTGACTAAACAGGAGAAACAATGAAATCATGTACTGTCAAGTGTACAAAATAAAAGTATTTATTTTTCTTTTCTCTCTTCCATTTACAGTAATTCTAATTGTTACTTGTAAAAATAATACATTAAAAAAAATTAGAATTGTGGAGTAGATGGAGTATGAAATGATAGTGGGACCTCCCAGAAGGGTTGTCTGAGAGGTAATTGGAGAGAGGAGTGGAGCAAAGAGGCGTGTTTTGTTTTTTAAGACCCATCACCATAGAGATGGGAGCTGAGATAATGAGAACAGATGTGATCCCCTACAGAGAGTATAGAGGCTGTTTGGAGAGAGAACCATGAGGAATGCTAACAGATAGGAGGTAGAGGGAAGGATGAGAAGCTACCAAAGAAAATGCTGGAGATGAGCCAGGAGAGCATAGCTAGAGAAGCCTAAATAGGAGAAAATGGAGAGGGGGACATTTTAAATCCATTTCCATAGACATTTCTCCAAAAATGAAATGCCTCTGGTTTGGGAGCTGTTACATGCAGTCTGGTGAAATAGATAGATTTCTCAGGGCCTCAATGTTTGAAGTTAAATTAAGTATTTAGAACTTTATGGGCCTCTTTTCTCATCTCTCCCCTCCCCCCCCTCCCCATGATCTCGCTCTCTCAATAGCTCCTCCAACCTGCCAGTTGCCTTCAAAAGGCAGGAAGTGCCAGTGGCCTACTATGTTCTCTGGCATCTTCAGTGGAGGATGGAAGTCTAAGTTCTCCTCTGTCTTCAGGAGGCATCTCTGTCACTCGTGTGCAAGCCCAGTCTTCTCCCCCTTTTTTCTTTCTTTCCTGGCAACGGAAAGAGGTTTGGGGTTGCACAAATTCTTTTCTGTTCCCTGTTTCTTAAGTTTCCCTGTGTTCTCTATTCCTCTGCATCCCACTCTCACGCATGTCTCCCACTCAGCCCAAAGATGGTTAGGGGAAGGATTAGGCAGTCTTCTCCCCCCTCTATACTTAAGAACCACGCTGAGTGTACTTTCTGCCTGTTTCCTGGACTCTCTTCCCTGTTAGTTGTGCTGCCCTGCTCAGCTCTCAAGCTCCAGTAGACAGGAGAAGCTTAGAAGAGACCATGTCTCGGGCATCCTTCCCATATGTTCCCCTCCACAGAGACTCCAAGGTCAAAAGGCCAGCTTTTTAACTGCTCTACCAGCTGCCCAGGATTATAACTAGGACAGGGAGCACGAAGGATGGGTTTTAAATATCAGACAGTTGGCAAGTATGGAGGAGAGGTATTTCAAGAGCATATGGCTTCCATTTGCACATCCAGCACCTCTGCCTCTCAGGACTTTGACACCTTTGTTTGTAGTCTGTCTTGCCAGTCTGTGGAGCTCATGGGACTTTGTCACCGGATGCTGTTGGTTCCACCAGACCTTCTGCCCTGTGTGAATCATTTGAGCGATTGTCCGCATGGATTCCACTTCTGGTGCACATGTACCTGAGAGCAGTTTCTTTTGGTCTATAGTGTCATTGGGGCTGCACCTGTGCTTTCGATGCGCTCACACTCCCCCCACCTGAAGGCATAAAGGGCAGAGTGGGCCCAATCATCTCTCAGTTCCTTCTTTCCACACAGGGCCTCGAGATGGAACCCCTGCAGTGTCCACTTTTCTGTGCACTCTGCAACTTTCATACCCATATGGGAGATTCAGGCCCACAGGGCTAGTCTACCTTGCATAGTGTCCCTCAAAGACTCTTAGGCTGTACCCTCCATTTTACCAGAAATTGTCTGATTTTCATTTAAATCTGGTGATTCACTTTCCATTTTTTCCCCCTAGGTCCTAGTCAAACCAAAGGAAAGCCAACCTGCACACCCTTGATGTGTACTGTGTTCTCTCATACTACTTACATCAAACAAGGCTCTTCAGGAGCGCTCACAGGCTGTTTGTAATGTTGCAGATAGGAGCTCTTCTAGGCTGTTAGTAGTATTGTAGATAGGGTTAAATGTCAAGTAGTATTTATTCAAAGATTGTCTAGGCAGGTACAAAATTTTATTAAATCATACTATGAGATAGCTAGATTAGATCCATCCATATAGGCGAGACACCAGTCCATCTTCTGTGGCTTCTTTGAGAACCATCCCAATTTCTGAAATTTGCAAGGCATCTATGTTGGGATTAGCAGAAGAAAGGACAGTTACTTGCCTTACAGTAACTGTGGTTCTTTGAGATGTCTTGTTCACATGGATTCCATGACCTGCCCCTTTATTATGGAGTCCTATACCATCTGGATTCTGTATTGCCAAAGGAACTGAGGAATCAGATGGGCCCACTCCACCTTTTATGCCCTTATGTGGGGAGGTGCCAGGGGATTCAGGGTGCAGGTGCAGCCCCAACGGATGCTGCTGGCCAAAAGTATCTGATCTCATGTGCATGCACACCAGAAGTGAAATCCATGTGGACAACACACCTTGAAGAACCACAGTTACTGTAAGGTAAGTAACTGTTCTTTCATTGCCCACCTCTCCTCATTCAGATCTTCTTGTGGCCCACATCATATGGTTGAAAGAACCTTTCATGTCTTGGTAAGAATATGTAGTTGCTGATGCACCCACTGGGTGTAATTTAGCAGGTAGAAAATACTTATTTATTCATAGTCCATGAATAGGAAGATATCCAGCCAATAGCCCTTTAGATTAGTTAATAGTTAACTTCCTTGTCTCTTCCCCCTCCCCCACATGTGTCTATAGGTGAGTATTGTAAGCACTGAACAGATCCCTGTATCACATTTAGAGAATTAAATACAATGGTGGTTTATTGTGCACCATAAAATGTGGTGTTTGTTTGCTTTCTACTAGAACAAGAGGATGAAGAAGCCAGTACTGGGTCTCACTTAAAACTGATAGTAGATGCCTTCCTTCAGCAACTCCCAAACTGTGTCAACAGAGACCTCATAGACAAGGTAAAGTCACATTATTATATTGTCGTCCCATAATCCCACAATAGTAAGTCTTGCATGTTAATTTGATCAAAAGTATACTTCAGGTGTTTACCAGTGTAATAGAAAGAGAAACTGTAAGCAACGTTATAGGCTGTATAGGCTTCAGGGAGACGTTTTTAATGTTTTTACACAAGAATTTTCAGACTCTTCTGCTTTTTTTTTTAGCTGACTTGGCTATTTCTTTTGTATTTTATGTAGCCATATCAGATCATAAGGTCCTGTGTACGCCAAATCAACTACCTCTGCTGCTTGGTTTGAAAGACCTTCACGCTTTGGAGTCTAGCATGTGTAGAGTCTCTTCCTGATCTTGAGAGAGTACTTCCTCTTCTCTCCCCAACACAGGCAGCAGTTGGGTAATGGCTTGCCTACCCAGAGAGTTAGAATCCAGAATCAGACCTTACTCTGGGTAAGGGGATGGTGATACTTAAGGCCTGTCTACACAAATGTTAATTCAAATTAAGGTAGAATGTGAGTTTCAAGTGCAACAGCTAGTCCTGATTAATTTCATGTGTGGATGATCTTATTCAGGCATAAGAGTGCTTTATCCCAAAATGGCTTAATCCGTGTAGGAAGTGGGTTAAATTAATTCAGAATAAGGCATTCTTATTCTGGAATCATATCATCCACATCTGGAGTTAATCAGTAATAGCTATTGTACCTGCACAATTGCCATATGTGGCTGTTGGTCCTACAGAAAAGGCAAACTCCCCAGCCTCTGTCCATAGCTAGTGAACCTTGCAACTGTTTCCCTGACAGTTGACTGATTCTTTCTCTCCCTCCCCATCAGCCCAAAGTTTCCATTTTCCATCTAGTAGTCCAAAGGTTTAATCTATACTCTAGTATAGATTTTAACATTCATGTCTTCTGAATGTGTAAATTCTAGCTAGAAAATGAAGATTATATTATTATTTTTTAAGCAATTGCATGTAGCAAAAGCTTGATTTAAGTAACAGACACTATTAATACGTAGGTTTTACTGCTTTATGTGTAGAAATTCCGGTTTAAAGGTGAAACATTGACTTTTCTCTTATAGGCAGCAATGGATTTTTGCATGAGTATGAACACAAAAGCCAATAGAAGAAAGTTAGTACGAGCTCTCTTCATAGTTCCTAGACAAAGGTAGGAAAAGGGGGAAAAAATGTAGAGTAACACTTTATTTAACTTTGCTTTAGTGATTTAAACAGACAAGAATGTACAGTGCAACTACGAAGTCACATGTCTACTACGTTTACCATTGATGCACACTTCTCTGGTGGTATTTGCTTATTGATTAAGGATAAACTTAAAATCAGCAAGCAAACTAAGATTGTTGGTACTGGAAAATTTTTCAGTATGGATACTATTGCAACTTACCTTTTCTGGTGATAATTACGGTTATAATAAATATTTTGGTGGCTCATGTTTTGTTCAAACAGTGACATCAAAAATAGTTTTTCCAGGAAAAAGAAGTTCACATGTCACTCAGAACTTCAATACTAGTAGCTGAAAGTCCATCCTGTTGCACAGGTATGGCATTTGGGCCAAGTAATCCATTATCTATGCAATCTCCCTCATACAGCCAATGAAATTGTTGCATGCAGTTCAGCTGTAGAGTATGGGTGGTGATTGGTTGAGTTACCTTTCATAGTGATATCAGAGGTAACTTAATCTCTGGTCTAGGACTCTTGGCATATATAAGGCATAGCTGCCTTACTGTATACCACACGTATATAATTTATAGAGTCAAAATGGCAAGAACTTAAAAACTGGACAGTAACAGACTGCAAATCCCAGTGATGATTGAACCTGGTGATATTCTAATAAAAAGGAGTTCTCAGCCATGCTTCCAGCTGTATCCATTGCTTCACACTGATTCAAAAGACATTCATTCTAGGCTTCAGAGTGATATAGAATGATAATCCTCGAATCTTATTATATGGATTGTCCTGGGAAGCATTGCAGTAAGATACAGTGGTAATGTATAGTAGTTAGTTTCTATGTGAGATCTTGCTATATGTTATGAATAATCTCAAGATAATAGCTTTATCTCATTGAGCTGTCATGGGAGTTTTGTTGTACTGAAACCCTTTGTGCCCTCTTTCTGCCTCTCCTTATGGTCAGCCAGCTTTTCCCATCCCTTTACTGACCACATCTGTTATCTGAGTGGCACTTTGATGGGAATTCTGTTAATTAAGAGCTCCAACGTTTTCTCCTTGACCGCCTGTTTTAAGAGGTCAGAGACTTTAACTGCAAACAGCCTAAGACTCAAATGGCATGTTTTAAAAAAAATCATTTTTAAAGAAAATATATAGATAGAGAGAAAATTATATTAAACCAAACTAGTTGATCTGTGTAATGTATCTAGCCTTACTCTCTGCCAAAGCTCATCTAGATAGGTGCACCTTATGTGCTTGACATGAAGAAAAAATCGTACCTTTCTAGAGTGTGCATTGCCAACATCTCATCTTTTGGCAGGCAGCTGTTAATGTTGCAGCCTTTGATTTTTCAGATTTCATGTGTCATTTCTCTGTACCTTCCTGGAGTCCCTCCCTTGTAATTTTCATGTTCCTTTGACCTGACCCATAAAGGTAGTACTTTGTGGAAGAGAACAGTCTCTTAAAGAATGTCTTGTTTATGGTCCTAGTCCATTCAGGATTGTATTAATTGCTATGAATAAACAAGCTTTGGTTCTTGGGTCTCCTGTACCATTTTTTCCATTTAAATAGCTGTATACAGTAAAAGCTGTGTTATCCAGCACTTTAACAACTGGAGAGCTCTATAAACTGGCATTTCGGATCTTCATTGAAAATCCAGTTTATAGTCCAGTTGGCACGGGGCTGGCAAGCTCCGTACCTGGCTCTGGAAGTGGCGGCATGTCCCTGCCGCTCCTAGGCAGAGGAACGGCCACAAGGGGTTCAGAGTGCAGGAGGGGGTGCAGGGTGGGGGCGTGGGAGGGGGTTTGGGGCGTGGCCTTTGAGAGGGAGTTTGGGTGCGGGAGGGGGCTTGGAGCAGGCGGTTGGGGTATGGGGGAGGATGTGCCAGATCCAGGCGGTGCTCACCTCGGGTGGCTCTGCACGCTGCTTCCACTCCGCCCTGAGCCCTGGCTCCGCAGCGCCTATTGGCCGGGAACCGCGGCCAGGGGGAGCTCTGGGGGCGGCACCTGTGGGTGGAGGCAGCGTGCAGAGCTGCCTAGCCACACCTCCACCTAGGAGCAGCAGGGACATGTCATCGCTTGCAAGGAGCCATCCCAGGTGACCACTGCCCGGATCCGGCACCCCCTCCTGCACCCCAACCCCCTGCTCTGAGCCCCCTCCCGCACCCAAACTCCCTCCCAGAGTCTGTGCCCCGTACCCCCTCCCATGCACCAGCCCTGAGCCCCTCCCACACCCAAACTCCCTCCCTCTTAGTTAACTGGAATTTTTGTCTTACCAGCGTCCCCATTCCCCCAACATGCTGGATAACAAAGCTTTTACTGTACATGGTGAAATAGCTATCTTCCAGCCCATCTTTGCATCCTATTAGTGTGTACTATTCGAAAGACCTTCTGTTCTTGTGTTCTTGTGTAATGACCATGCTTTTGCATACTGATTATCCTGGTGTTAACCTGAATGTCTGCTTTGCATCTGAGATTAGAAGGATGTGCTCATATAATTCTTTAGTGGCGGAGCTGTCAAAAGATGACAGTTGTTAGAGCTCATTGCCCTATTTGTGTTAGTGGGATGTGTCCTCACCAGCAATCAGCTGACCTTTTGTCCTTGCAAGTTATCGGGGTAACTTAAATAGATTATCAGAAAGGCAACAAATTGATTGAACATGTTTGCATGTGGACGCAAGGTGCATTTCAGTTGATTGACAGACCTGTAACCTGCTGTTCTCTCTAATGTAGACCAAGCTTAAAAAGCCTGTCCTTTTCTATAACACTATAATACTGTGCTTAAATCAGTTTTCCTCTCTACGTTTAGTGTAATACCTGCCAAATTATACTGAATTTACAAGATGTAATATTTAATAAATTATCATTATGCATAACAAAATAAGTCCTTTTTACATGGATTTTAGGTCATTATTATCCAGTACTCTTTAGAGGCTCATTGAAAAAAGAACAAAATAAACAGCTTTTAACAGCCACAGCTAATGATTAATTTGAGCAGTCTAATCTCTACAGCATGTTGGAAGGATGCAAGCATGGGAAATGGAACAAGTGTTACTGTACGTTTCCAGAACCTCACTTGAAAAATGGAAATGGTATAATACTTTTATCACTGCAGAAAAACTTGTGCTGATTACAATGGGGCTGAAGTCCAAATGCCTTATTGGTTTTATTAGTTTAATGTGAATCCAAGTTTTGAACAAATGCTCATCTTTAATGATCCCTGAGCAGGTTTCAAGATTATCAAAGGCTGATTCATATACAGTTCTCTTTCTGAGCATCTTTCATTTATTCTGAAGAGTGCATTCTTTGTTCTAACATAGAACAAACACAATTACTGAAGTAATTCCTAGAAGAATTTGAAATGTGAATCTGACAGATCAGCGTTAATCTGCCAATTACAGATTAATTCAATAATATTCAATATTCAGTAATATTCAATAACAAGTGCAATCAGTGTTGAGTGAGAACTAACTGTTTGTTGGCTAAGATCTTGTACAGCTCCCCCTTTGCCCATTATGACTCCCTTAGTATCCACTCTCACACATGAATCATAGAATAGTAGGGTTGGAAGAGACCTCAGGAGGTCATCTAGTCCAACCCCCTGCTCAAAGCAGGACCAACACCAACTAAATCATCCCAGCCAGAGCTTTGTCAAGCTGGGCCTTAAAAGTCTCTAAGGATGGAGATTCCACCACCTCCCTAGGTAACCCATTCCGGTGCTTCTTCACCCTTCTAGTGAAATAGCGTTTCCTAATATCCAACTGAGACCTCCCCCACTGCAACTTGAGACCATTACTTCTTGTTCTGTCATCTGCCACCACAGAACAGCCTAGCTCCATCCTCTTTGGAACCCCCCTTCAGGTAGTTGAAGGCTGCTATCAAATCCCCCCTCATGCTTCTCTTCTGCAGACTAAATAAGCCCAGTTCCCTCAGCCTCCCCAGCCCCCTAATCATTTTTGTTGCCCTCCGCTGGACTCTCTCCAGTTTGTCCACATCCCTTCTGTAGTGGGGGGCCCAAAACTGGTGACAGTACTCCAGATGAGGCCTCACCAATGCCGAATAGAGGGGAATGATCACATCCCTCAATCTGCTGGCAATGCCCCTACTTATACAGCCCAAAATGCCGTTGGCCTTCTTGGCAACAAGGGCACACTGTTGACTCATATCCAGCATCCACTGTAATCCCCAGGTCCTTTTCTGTAGAACTGCTGCTTAGCCAGTCCGTCCCCAGCCTGTCAGTGCATGGGATTCTTCCTTCCTATGTGCAGGACTCTGCACTTGTCCTTGTTGAACCTCATCAAATTTCTTTTGGCCCACTCCTCCAATTTGTCTAGGTCACTCTGGTCCCTATCCCTACCCTCCAGTTTATCTACCTCTCCCCCCAGTTTAGTGTCATCTGCAAACTTGCTGAGGGTGCAATTAATCCCATCATCCAGATCATTGATAAAGATGTTGAACAAAACTGACCCCAGGACTAACCCCTGGGGCACTCCACTTGATACCGGCTGCCAACTAGACATCAAGCCTTTGATCACTACCCGTTGAGCCCGACAATCTAGCCAGCTTTCTATCCACCTTATAGTCCATTCATCCAATCCATACGTTAGCTTGCTGGCAAGAATATTGTGAGAAACTGTATCAAAAGCTTTGCTAAAGTCAAAATATATCACATCCACCGCTTTCCCCATATCCACAGAGACAGTTATCTCATCATAGAAAGCAATCAGGTTAGTCAGGCATGATTTGCCCTTGGTGAATCCATGTTGACTGTTCCTACCCTTTCCTCTCTTCCAAGTGCTTCAAAATGCCCTTCCCATGTTTTCTCCTGGAAATGTCCCTCTCCTGCTCTGTGGGTCCTCAACTGGACAGTGATCCAGCTGTAGATTTCTGGCTTAGGCTGCATTCTGTTCACTGCCCCCTGTTCCCTTACCTTTTTCCAGTGATGCCTAACTCTGGTTATGCTGCTCAGCTGGAGAACCACTGATGT